TTTTTTACCTTTTAATAATAAACCTTATAATAAACTTGGTGTGGCACTGTAGGACAAACACTAGACTGGTAACTGCAAGGTCAGTGATTCAAACCCACGAGCCACTCTCAGAAACTCTACACAGGGTGGCTATGAGTTGGAACTGACTCAACTACACGTAGCAACAACAATCTAACAATAGGGAAATAGTTAAATATGTAGGTACATAGGTTCAGTTGAGGTTTTATGATGTCATTAATAATCTGATTATATAGGAAATGCCTATAAAGTTAAAAAAAAATGTTAAGTGCTGTCAAGTCTTTTCTGAGCCATAGTGACCTTATATAGGGTTTCCAAGGAGCGACTGGTGAGCTTGAACTACCAATCTTGCAGTCCAGTGCATTAACCCACAGCTGCCAACCCAGGACTCCAAAATATAATCTTAGTTACCTTTTTAAAAAAACTCTTTATTCTTGATTTTTTAAATAGAACTCTGTGATAAAGAATAATCTTAATGATAACAGTTTTTTGAAACACTTTGAGATTTTCTTTGTGACTTAGTATTAGGTCAATTTTTATTAATATCCTATATGTATTTACCAAGGATATATGCTCTCTATTTTTCCAAACAGTAGTCTCTTAGTTTCTCTCTACTTACATACATATTAGACATACATATTCTTTATGTGAGTACATTCTATATGTTGGGAAAAGGGGCTAATGTAAAAAAAAATTGTCTTTTAATTTTTCCAGTTTTTTTGAAGTCCCTTCATTTAGACTAGCTATATATAGATTTTGGTCAAATATTTCTCTTCTTATTAGTATTTGGCCTGCATGAGCAATCACTTTTTATACTGGTGGGTTAAAAATCTTTTACTATGATTGAAGACGTACCTACTAGTACATCTTGCCTTAACATTCTTTGGCCTATAGCTATTCAAATATAAAGCCAAGAAACTTGCATCTTCAGCAAAAGCAGTGCTTAGAGAGTAATTTATAGCAATACATGCACACATCCAAAAAGAAGTTCTAAGGAACCCATCATCAACACATTAATATAACATTTAAGCCAGAGTAAGAGCTATAAGGTAAGAAAGGGAAATTAAAGATATCCAACTCATGTCAGTTTGTTGTACTATGGTGGCTTGAGTGTTGCTGTCATATACTGGCAGCTATGCTACTAGTATTTTAAATAATTAGCAGGGTCATCAATAGTGGACAGGTTTCAGAAGAGCTTCCAGACTAACACCGCCTAGGGAAGGATAAGTGGACTACTACTGAATGTCTATCCCCTGAAAACCTTATGAATGTCAGCAGAAAATTGCCAGATATAGTGCTAGAAAGTGAAAACATTGTGAATAAATAGCACCAGAATATTGTCAAATACAGTGCCAGAAAATGAGCCCCTAAGGTTGGAAGGCACTTAAAATATGACTGGGAAAGAACTGACTTCTCAAAATAGAATTGACAATGTAAACAGAGTGTAAAGCTTTCTAGACCTTCATTTGCTGATGGGGCACAACTCAAAATGAGAAACAAGTGCAAGCAGTCATTAATAAATGGAACATGGAATGTACAACGTATGAATCTAGGAAACTGGAAATTTAAAAATTAAATGGAATGCATAACGATCAATGTCTTAGTCATTAGTGAGCTGAAATGGACTGGCATTGACCATTTTTAATTTGATAATCATATGGTTTACTGTGCTGAGAATGACAAATTCAAGAGGAATGGTGTAGCATTGATTATCAAAAAGATTATTTCAAGATCTGTCTTGAAGTATAATGTAATGCTGCCTTTGATGGGGATATCCATACGCCTACATGGAAAACCAGTTAATACCACTATTACTGAAATTTATGAACCAGCTACTAAAGCCAGTGATGAGAAAATTAGCATTCTTCTGTCTGAAGTTATCAAACATACAATCAAGATCTATTGATAATTACTTGAATTGGAATGATTGATTGGAAAGAGAGAAGC